CATAAATTCTTCTTCGCTTCTTAAAGTATATAGTCGTCCTATTGTCATACGAATAGCCACAAATTTGTATCAACTTCAGCCAAGATTCTTACATCAAATGACAATAGTATTACCATCCAACAAGGTCTGATTAATACTCAATGGTGACCCCAACATAGTAAGGGAAAGGCCCGGAGAGAGGTGGAGGAGTTAGTGTCCTATTGTTATGAATATTTGTCTAACAATTTCGGGTTTTACGATGAATTCTGATTTTGATGTGCCCTCTGAGGCACGAAGATGTAGGGGAGCGTATCTTCACCAAAAGAGCGATCGATCCTGAAGCAGATATTTTTAACCTCTCATGTAGATACTTGAATGTACGTATTCTTCCTTGTATCTATGCCGAAATATTCAGGGCTTTATAATAACTCATATTTTGTACTTGTGTACATAAAATCACGTTTTTTATCAGAGATGTACATTACGGTACTTAATGCCACTGTACAATGTAACACTAACTTTTTGCTATTTATTTTATAAGTCTCATTTAATAGGGGGTGATCATACCGGGCATAATTCTAGACTCCATGCTACTATTTAGATTTTTTGTTAAATACCCAGTAGTACTTTGCTCACCCGGGAATCCTTTGCGACCACTCGGTCAACGAGGTACTCTTTGTATACATGGCTGTTTTTATCAGAAAGAAAGGAAAGTATAGGTGTATTAACATCCAACTTTTTCATTAACGCTGTGAAAATAATTCTTAGTTTACGATTTAGTTAAGAGAGCTCTAATCAAAGTTGAAACGTGAATACGTGGCACTACAAAACTTTGTACAAGTTGAAGTTAACTTTGTAATTCAAAAGGCTTTCAACCCTTCATTATCACCAAACCAAAATAATGTAACAAACCCGTTATGTGTCGACGTACATTAATTTTCTATTAGATAGCTTACAATCACGGCATTAGAATGGAGTTACCAAAAAACCTCTTGACGTAGGGAAGGGAAAATCCAGAGTGTAATAATTATTTCATCAGGCTGTGTGGGTTAACCCTACTCAATGTTTCAGTACAAAAGAGTAGCAGATTGTTTGATTGACAGCTCGATAATGTAGGGAACATTCGCCACATTCCCGCTCGTCCACACTTTGGGGGTAACGGGTAAGTAAGGGGTAAGAGTACGCAGACGACCGTCGCCGGCGGCGGCTATTGGACGGAATCGTAAAATGATTGATGACTATTTGTGGACCAGGTATAACCAGGTTTGGTCCTAAGAATGGAAAGAAATATTTATAAGGAGTTGCTTAAGTGGAATATAATGTGAATAGGATGTTTTATGTGGACGGGAAACGGGAAGGGAATTTCCGATAGTCTTTTATAAGACCACTAAAACGTATTTATGTTTATTCTTACACAAATATTTAACATTGTGTGTCTTACTAACAGTTAAGTCGAAAAAAGTAGTATATTTTTACTTTTAATAAAAGTAATTTGAATAAAATTGTTAACCATTAGGTAATTTCACCATAAAAGTTTATCGATACAGAATTCTGTTAGTATTTAAGTGTTACAAATAAAATATCGAACAGCGAACTTATTACAAACAGCTGGTAGGCACTATTATCTATAATATCGTTACACAGACAACTCCATAGTTATACGCTTCCACACGAACTTTTAAGCCGATTAAATTAATACTTTAATGTAGAACAGTGGAGTTCTGGTAATAACTAGAAAATTTGTTTGATAACCTACATTACGTTTTTATTTTCAATGAGTTTGATACTATTGAATGAGTAATTGTAGTGTTTATCATATTTTTTATTGTTTTGATATTTTTTTCTGACGCCAAGTATATGTATCTACCTAGTCTATCCCGTTTAATGCCTACGTATCATCTGGTGATTCTTATCAACGCATGGATTTTAATTCTAAGGTCGGATCTTTGTCCAACTATACTGACACTAAAACCAGACTAAATCAAACTTAAAATTATAAATAAGAATCAACAGCAATTAAAAACAATCAGTTTGCAGTTGGTTTTGTTGTTTTTCGTTAATTTGTATACGTTAGGTAAGCATTACAATGGCTGTATGCTATTAGCACATTGGTCGAGTCAGTATCGACAACATCCCCATATTGGTTATAGTCCAATAAGGGTGGGTCTGCCATTAGCCACTCCAAATGTATTTGTTTCCACAGTCCCGATCTAAAAGGGTACATTGAATGGAACTCTTGTTCTAAATATAACTGAGAATCCAATTCACACAGGTATTTATTAAAATGACACTTGAAACGTTGTATTTGATTGTTAAAAAGTTGCAACTAACAGGCAATTTTCCTATCAGCCGGCTGCAGTGCTCTCTGGTAAATCTGAATAGGGTGCTTATTCTCGAAACCAATCTCAATGTCAATGCAATTTTAATCCAATAAAATCTAAATAATTATTCAATGTCAAAACTATACAACCCCTATCGTACCTGTTAAAATAATATTCAGAGTACGGAATATAAAGCCAAACTCAATACCATTTAGTTTATTAAATATTCATGCAATACGGATGCAATGGGCGCTAGTTGCAACTCGAGAGTTCGAAATTTCACAATACCAATGTCGATCGATCGGAATTGGATTCAAAAGTAAGCCCCCTATTACTACAGTTTCCAACCATAATTTGTAGAAGAGCCCTATTGTTAGCAATAGTGAACTGTCATGGGCCTTTGGTGTTGATAACATGAATTATTTTTTCATCATCATCAACTGTCTGTAAATGGCCACTGCTGACCAAAGGCCTCTTCTCGCACGGAGAAGGTTTGAGTATTAATCACCACGCTCGTTCAATGCGGGTTGGCGATTGCAGACTTTTAATTAGAAATTATAAGTCCAGGTTTCCTCACGATGTTTTCTTTCACCGTTTGTCAGTGGTGTATAGATAATCTTAGAAAGTACATATAACTCGGAAAAAGTCACATTGGTACTTGCTGTTGGCAGGTTTCGAAGACGCACTCTCATGCATGAGAAACGGGCGTCTTAAACGTCCGAGCTACCACGACGTTATAATTTTTACTATTGTTAAAATATCCCCTGTTTTTTATTCTTTTGCCTTTTCTATTTGGTACAAAATGGCACCATTCACGTAGGAGATTAACCCTTTCCATGAAAAAGAAAGTCCCTTACCAGCGACGCCGACTATATTGTTTACAAACTTCTTGTTTAATTCCTTATTTTTGTTTTCACACTTCAAAGTTCCTCGTCTTGGTGAAACCTTACAAAACCCTTACTCTAGTCCACAAAAGCTTAGAAAATCCTTTGGTTTACATTCAAATATTTCACCACAACATTGAAGGGAGATGGAAAAACTTGATCTACATATTCTCCGGAGTCCTTTGAATCTTTTCAATAAATATCATACTTTGTGTGAATATCATAAGATATGTGCTTGGTCCAAACAGTTATTTAGTGGCCCATACGCTATTGTGCTGAATGGCCAGTTATGTGTTGTTGTACGAAATGACAAAAACGTTCCTTGACTTTTTTATGACTATTCTATGACTACAAAATAGTCAATAACCACATTAAGCTGCGTTTACTTATTTCTACAGAATATGGAATATATGTAGGTATCTATTTCTGAATTCTGTGTGCCTGCGCAATCACTTTTACCAAGTAGCGAATTTAATATCAGAGTCAAGCAACTAATTTGGGCAGTAGTCAAATACCAAAATCATGATTCCACCTGGACGTTAACCACTACAAATTTTTAGATATGCCAATTATGCTTCTAGAAAGTACAATCCTACTAGGAAAACTCAGTATTTAAATTCGAGACCTAAAGATAAAAGTACTCAATTATTCAATTCCTTTGTAACAATGTTACACAGTTAATTCCAATGGAAATAAAAATAGTAGAAATTCAAATCACAAGCGAATCAAAGAACGAGATTTGAAGAGCAATTTAAATGAATTAACGAAATCGAATTCGAGTGTTTTACCAGGTTTGAAAGGATTGAACAGATTACAGGAATTTTGCTTTACAAACGTAACAAACTTGAAAATGTTCGTTTAGAGGATAAAATGGTGAAAAACAGGAATCGTGTTTAAAGTTTCGTCGATTGATTTATCTGGTTAGTGGAATAGAACTAACGTTATCATTCTCCCATTTATTTTTTAATACGACGTTGGCAAAATAGCACACGGCCCAGCTGATAGTAAGCGGTTACCGTGGCCTATGTACGCCTGCAACACTCGGGGCATTACATGCATCTTGTCGACCCTTACGAAACCTATTCACTCCCCTCTTGCAGAAACCCATGTTGTAGCCCACCGGGAAAACCACGGCAGGGAGTTCATTCCACAATCGGAGGGTCTGTGGGAGAAAATTCCTCTGAAATCGAACTGTACGGGACCATTTGGGCTCTATGCTTTTAATACATACATTTCGGATTGAATAGTCCATGAAACATTGTATTTAGTAGTTAATATATTACATGATACATTTACTACAGAAACAATATTCAAATCTGTTACTATACTACCTCTAGGTGTAAACGAAACGGTTCCGAAAAGGCAGACTAAAAATTTTTGTTTTTTAAATTTTATTCGTTTTTGTTTTCATGTCATTCGTGCATCATCAGCCATAATCGCTTGCATGCACCGATAATAGACACAGTTATAAATATAGATATACAAATAAATAAAATTGTGTCTCGCGTGGATCCCCGTTTAGACAAACGACGGGTTAAGCAGTTGATTGCAACTAGATATTATTACATAAAATAAATAATTAATTCCCTACTTTTTGGAAATACCACTAGTTTTTTATCATAACCCGTCTTCGTTTTTTGAAAGCGTTCTCCTTACACCCTGTATTATTGAAACGTTTAAATACAAACACATTTAAACTGTCAAACACCAAGCGGTCACCGGTGACCGCAACCTATTGTTCTATAATTGTGTCTATATTGACGGTACTCGACGAGTTAAAGATCATTGTAATAAGTCGTGTTAGCTTAGTACTAACCTGGTTGGGTCCGGTGAGGTTCAGCCCACAGGAGTTACAGCGTAGGCACTCCTCATGGTAATGGTTGTTGTCGTACAGCGGAGATGGTTCTGTAATATTGAGATTGTATTAATATTATGTTTAATAATAATAGGTACTAGTATTTATAATGAGTATTTTATTTGAGTAGGGGAAGGCCTATTACTTTTAATATAAGAGTTTTCTGTAACGGTGACAAATAGATAACATGATATTTTAAAATCTTGTTATTCTAAACATAACAATTTATTTAGGTAAACTCACGAGAAAATAGTCGTATTTAAAACTACCTTTTATAACACTATGCCCACTAAACAACAATTTAAAATACCCCGCAAAATCCACATATGGGTGAATGTGAAAAATAACAAGAATAAAATTATTCTTATTTGTGTATGGGGAGTTTTAATTACTGGTTTCTCCATATTTAAGTTTATGGAAATGTTTAAAAAAGTTTCTTTATATATTTAATACTCTAATTCTTAAGGGAGTTTATAAATTATCAAACATCACGCTATGAGACACAGGAATATAGGACCTGGGAGAAATTACGGGAACGTAGCACATGGACTATTTTACGGAAATGACCTATTTAGAAATGAATTATTTGCCATTTATTATGGTTTTTAACTTTATAAGAAATATTGTACCTCTACTTTTGACTACCTCGTTGGTAAAGTGATTGGAAGTGCGACTACCAACCAAGTCTCGGGTTCGTATTGGTTCGGTTTCGAAAAAAAAATTGGCAACAGCACAAAGTCTGTAATTGTCCCCAGGACATAGCAATTGGCTCAACCTCATTGTTTATTAACTTATTTAAATTGTATAATTTATGTATCCCCTTCCTCTACGGGGATTAAAAAGGCTTGACGTTGTATTACGACCTCTAGTTTCCGATAATATAACTTTAAAACCGCCCATATACTTAATGGTCTTAAGTTTACTGACAGTTCACTTAGTTGGTAATAAGAGTCATCGAATGAAATCGATACTTCAACTTAAACAACTTAGTCTGCGAACAGTTTAGAGTACTTGATAAGTCAATTTAATAATAGAGATAGAAGGGATAGACTTTGAACGGTTTTCTGATAGCTTCGAAAGGGTTTATATTTACACCTCGAATTTATTCCAAAGATGTATTTGACCATTAACTAAAAATTACGAGTTACGTAAATATACTGAGTAAAGCTCTACAGCTCTACTAATTTCGAGTCTCAGAGGGACTCTTCCTCATGAGCAGTGTGCGCGGTTTCGACGATGTCGCGCAGGCTGTTGTCGACAATAGGCTGCGTGGGTACTCGAAACTAGCAGAGCTGTCTCACTATATTTATGTGAGTAATTCGTAATTTTCAGTTAATTTAAAGTGTCTCATGATAGTAGTTATTATAAAAAGATGATTGATAATGTCATTTTAGTTTTATTACGTGGCGAATTGGCCTTATATAAAGAAGCATTTTAGATTCCGTGTTATTACTACTTTTTTTTTCTTTCTGTGGCAGTTCATAATGGTCTTTTCGATTACAAAACGAAAAGACCAATGATGCGACTAGTCTGACATCACGAAGGTAAGTAAAATTCTCCTTATAATTTACTTAACACGAACAGAAATAATCGACGTGTAACTGCTGGACAGTAACTCACTGTGATCACTTACTTGGGGGATCCTCACCATAAATTCCCTAAATATACTTTTGCGCACATAAAACATAAAAGTATCATTGTATTAAATATTCGCAATTTGACTGTTATTGTACCTTTGTTAGCGAAACAAAATTTTGTAGCTGTGATACTGATTAAAATATAACAGACCTACAAGTTGCCCTTATAAATCAAAATAACCGACTCTTAAGAAAACAAATGGGTGTTCAGTTTGCTCCTAAAATGAAGCTTTGCCTTATAATAATTGAGCAATAAAAATTCTATGGTCGACCTAACGTGGTTAACAAGGAAAAGTGAATTTAAATATGTAACAAGACAGAAGTGTGTTGTTTATTTACAGTTTAGTTTATTTGAATATTTTTTATAAAAGTATCTAATCGTGACACATACTAAATTAACTGAAAGTCGCGGGTTACTCACGTGCAAATACTGAGAAAAGCTTCACCAGTTTCGAACCACAGAGAGATTCTTCCTCATGAGCAGCGTGCGCGGTCGCGGCGATGTCGCGAGCTGTAAGCGCGATGAGTAACCAGCGAGTTTTAGTTAATTTAGTATCTAATCGTATCTTTTTTAAATAAGGTTTTGGTCACTTCAAAATAAATGTAAGTAAGAATTGAGCGCTAATTTAGAACAATACGATGTGTTTGACCAAAAACTGAAAACACAGTTTGATTTTATTATGGCTAGACGCAAACAAATGAAATTAACGTGGTAACTGCATCAAAAGCTATCAAGAACTTGTCCTAAACTGTTTAACGTTAAAAGGTAATAAACGCACGTGCTTTCATCTTGAATTTAATCTTTATTACATTTTATGAGGCTCGTGTTGCGGTTGTTACACTACACGATAACACTAAGTTAATAGCTTTTACAAGATCCTTAGCAAACTGCATATTACTTTACTAACTTTTCGACTTGTAGCCTGGCAACACTAAATTGTGCTTTAAAACTTTATTATCTCAAAGCTCTGTTTCTGACTACACAGTCAGAAACTACAGTGACATTTATTAAAAAGTGAGAGCGAAATTTCGCTGTTGGCACCGCGCCAGGGGGCAGTGATGTATCTCGGAAACTTCTGACTTAACATTTTAAGTACAAGTTATTGAAGACCCCTGTCGTAACATGTGACAACCACTTAGGTATTCTTAGCGGGTCCACAATGTTTCAAACATAATGCATTATTGATCAACGCTATTTCTTCAACAATATAAACTAGACAAATCTCAACAAAACCACCTAACTTGATGAAGAGGGTCCTCTCTTTATAAAAGGTTACTCAGGCAGCAAACTGACACTTTTTTATTTGCTCGACTGAGATTTTATTTTGCATTTTACGAAAACCAATTTTTCTGCGACAAACTTCTGATTGATCATAGATTAAACTATTTGACACTTTAATGCCGCTCGAACAAGGTTCGAAGCCAAAACGTTAGGTACTCAACTGTTCATTGTGTTTCTTCGAACAAATTGTGATAAATGGCCTTCGAGCAAGATATAAAAGTTTGTCAGGCTACTTAAGAGTCAATATTGATTTTGTATTTTTATCATTAATTTATGTGATTCTCGGAGTGATTCATTAATTCATGTGCTTACAAATTCGATAAAGTTTCCCCGGAAAGCGAATAAATAGTACATTGTGATAAGATGTTCGGTGAATTGAATCACTTTGCAAGTTAATAAAATTTTAGGGCCATTTAACTTATTTTGTTGTATAAAGAGACTGGAGAGAGTATGAGATAAAGTGGGACTTTTATATAGAGATATTGAATATTGCCATAGAAACGTGAGTGTAATTAATGTGATCACAGAAGACGCAATAAAGTTGGTAGTAAATAAGTATTCTCATCTTTTTATAGGCGAGGAACAGAGCGGCGATAATATTGATGTTAGTCTATTACAATGTTGCTTCAATATTCTATGCGTTAATGGATATCGTTATTAAAATAAAGCAGGCGTCTTATATTGGTTATTGGAAACATGTTATGCTCTGAGTATTTTATCGTTTTTGCCCTTTATGTGAAAATGGAACTGCTACTTTTATGTGTTTTTAGAAGGTAAGAAAACACTTATATTGCCCTTAAGTGGTCATTGCTATGGTGACTGTATATTTCTATAGAGTAATGAGATGCTAAAGTAACTTTGCCAATGGGTGTCATGTATATGTGAACGTACCCACGACATAGGAGAACATCCTAGTGCAGGGCAACGTTCTAATAAAAAAAGAAACTATAACAATTTCTAAGCAGCCAAGTTTCGAGAACTTCTCTTCGACGAGGTTGGTTCCATATACTTGGGGATACTCAGCTACTCAAAAGACGCAATTTTTGGAAAATTCTCGTTATTAGTAACGAATGTTTTGGAGTTTTGCGACCCGACGCTCAGCGCAAAAACTGTAACGTATTACAGAACCTTTGAATATCAATTTACAAATAGAAATTTAGGATATAGTGTTTCTCAATGTACTATCAAATAGACGAATAACATCAAAACATTTTTACTGTAACAGAAATATTACTAAGCTCTTTAAATGGGCATCAAAGGGAAACTTTTCAAATGAAAATATACGTTTGAATAGGCAGAAAAATAATATTCTTATTTAATTGAGTCGGTTCTTTTGCAAACTTGTTTTTTCTCATATCGGTATCTAAAATAAATAATTAGGTACAGATGTTTTTACTCATGTTTTATGAAACTTGTTTAACAAAGTGACTAACTGGAATATGTAATGCTACGAATTAAGGAAAGCTCTTAAACCAACTTTGTTGCCACATTTTGTAGTTTGTGTAATTACCTTTTAGTTTATAATTCGTTTGTTGGACACTTAAACAAAAAAATATAACTACTACAAAAAACTATGTATGCATTATTTTTGTTTTGAAAGGCTTCGTCTCTTAACTACACTACATCACACAGTATTAGAAAACTATATTCAAAATAACTAACAGATAACATACTCGTCACTATCAATTTAGATACAATAATGAACCTTACAAGTGAAAAGGAATAGTTTACAAAGTTTTCGCCACTAGCTACTAAAGTGTGAGTAAGTCAGGACTCGATAGAAACCACTGAACTATTAAATTAGTGACAGAAGGTCACAATATCTATGCCATTTCGATTTTCAAAGGACTCTATCCCTTTGTCGTTTTTCAGTGGGGCGGACAATTATATCAAAGGATACCCTGAATGTGATTGCTAAAAGAAAGAGGCTGTCATAGGCTGTTTGCGAGTTTTGGTACTTTTAGAAATAGTACATGTATCGCTCATCAGGAATTAATCTTAGTTTGATAAACAGTGAAAGTAATTGCATTTGTTTTGAATGGTGCACGAGGGTTTGACAATCATTTTCTACGGTAAAATTGTACGTTACTTCGATTTAACACTGAAGAACTATTTATTTTTTATTACAAGTATTTAAATCACTTACCATATCGTTTCGGCTCAATTTTGACGCACGTTATTTAACTTGTACAAAAGTAATTATTTTTCGTATTTTACAGTATATTATCCGGTGAAAAATATTAATATGTAAAATTTTAAATATTAATTTTTACTCTAACATTTATTTACGACACGAAAACTACTTGGTGTTTTGTTACTTTATAGTCACACTTATTTACAGGTTACATACAGTTCAATGTTTATTGTTTTGCACCGATTACACTGGCTCCTGATAAGAAACTTTTCTTATCACGTACACCTTACCACGCCACGAGAACAAAACATACCATAAAAATATATTTCTCGAGTGTACAGACTGAATTGTCAAAAAATATTTATTAACACAAACCGAGTTTATAACACGTTTATTGCTGTATTTTATAGGAAAACAAGATTCGTTGTAACGTCTACGTTGAATTATTGCTCACGATTTTTTTTCGCGAATTTAGGCTGTCAATGTTATGTTATTTGAGGTTATTCGTTGTGTACGGCACGTCACTTTCGTTCTAGTAAACATGGCAGCATTCGGCAACAGATGACAGGGCGCGGGCGGGCGAGCCTGCGCCGATCGCTCGTGTTCATCTCATTTCGTGGTCCGCGCGACCGCGCTGCCAGTTCAAAGTGGCCGCCCGAAATCGGCTGGGTTCGCCGGTGGCGCCACTCGGGCCCCACTCCCTCGGCAAAGAGGGATTCTCCCGTCAACCCTCTTCTTCCCGTCGGTAAAACAGTATTGTAAGACAGAGACAAGCGAGATGCGCGTGAATCGATTGGCTGTTGAAAAGGGGCGGGGGCCGAGCACGTGGCCGTCACTGTTGTCAGTGAGTAGTGCTCGTATAGCGATTGAGTTTGCTGTTGTAATGCGTTTCACGTCCCGCAAAAGCTCTTTAGCGCGTGTTAGCTAAAAGTTGTTCGTAGCTCGCTAACTTTAACTTCAACTTCGAGGACCGATTTCTAGTAATGATTGATCTTTTCCTATTTATTTCTTAAAATGTTATAACTATATAATATTTATAGGAATGCTGAAGAAACTATTATTATTATTTAAAAAAATAATTTTATCGCCCTAATCATAATTTAATTATGCTAAATTTACTTTCCTATTTATTAGAGCTAAAACTATTTAAATTAAATTTGCGTAAATATTTAAAAATGTAAAAGAATTAAACTTACCAGTTTGCGTGCTGGAATCGAAGAAGGTGCTGGTAGTTTCTACAGTCATGGTCCCAATAGTTCCATCTAGTATTTGTGTTGACGAGTCTCTGCGACCTCGTGCACGCATGCATGCGTCATCACTTTGTGAGCTTTGGCGTCGAAAGTTTCGACATCTGATCATCTCTTCAGTAGTTGATTGCCGTCGAAAACCCCTAGCTATTAAAATTTCTTCAGTTGTAGATTGTCTGCGAATCATTGTTCTCTCAGGTGGTCGAGCACAAGGACTTGGATCTCGGCTGGAGCACGAGCTTGATTCTGGACTCCTGGCTCGACCCATCCTAGCACACGATGCTTGTCTTCTTAGTCGGCTTCGTCTTCTTGCTGTTGATGGGCTTAACTCTCCACCACCAGCTCGATCTGGGCTTAATTGAGACCGCTCTCGTCTCGGTCGTACAGCAGAATCGGGACTCAAAGAATCCCTTCGAGCCCTTCCTTCGTCATCAGGTCCTAAGGATGGTCCTGAATCCCTACGCCTGGTTCCAGGTGGCCCTATTGGATCGTCAAACGCAGTAGCTTGACGTTGCAGTCTTCCAAGTCTTGTTGGGCTGGCCGCGGCTCGGGAATCCCTGCGAGCTCGACCACATTGGGTTGTAGAGTCTCGACGTCCACCTAAGTTAGGAGGAGAACGGCCACCAGGTGTTACTTGCGTCGCTTGAGCAGACTGTGTCGTCTGGGACGTTTGTGCTGTTTGGGTAGCACTACTATTAGGTGGTGTAGGTGATGTAGGTGAGGGTGTCACAGCAGACGTAATTATGGTAGGCATTGTCATTGTAGGTTGACATTCTCCGTCGGATCTACTGGGTTCATGGATAGCTACTACAGTTACACACGGCATATGCGACGAAGGTCCGGGATCAGAGGACGCATCAACAAAGGAAGGTGGAGCAGGGGTAGGCGGCGATGTTCGCCTTTTTCTCTGGGTAGCCACTATACGTGGTGGAGCAACAACGGAATCCCGGCGATGCCGATGTCCTTCTACGGAGTCTCTGCGTTCCTTAGTTTCCTCAGAACCGCGTCTTTTGATGCGCCTTTCTCTCGCTGGCATAACGGTTATTGAGTCTTTGCGGTCCCAATTGGGGAAATCGGCCCGAAAATCTTGAGGTGCCGCTTTGGAATCGCGGCGTTTGGAAGCCATGGATTTGATGCCGGAGTCGGCTGAAGAGTCGCGACGGCGCCTCGGTGGCGGTTCGTGCCGCGCCCAAGGTAGGGAGCGGGCGAGGTCCGCCAGGGTCTCTCGTCGGGAGAGCGGGGCTCTTTGGCGTCGGGGCGCGCTGCCCCCGCCACCCCACTCGCGCAGAATGTCGGTTAATTGAGCCAAAGAGGAGCGGCGGCGTCGGGGCCCACCTACAAATAAGTGATTTTTTAATGACATAATTGGAAAAACACGAAAGCCACCTTGGCATTATTTTAAATGAATCGGTAATTTAGTCAATAATTGTTTTTCACTCGTAATACCACGTACCTCTGGGCTGATTTTCGACGTCGGGTTCTGGTGGTGACAGGCAAGACACTTGTGCCGCCGAGTCCCTTCGACTGCCCAGTCTTTGTCTCAAAGTTGATTCTTCTAAAGTAGATCGTGTAAGCTCGTCCCAGCCGTTGCCTCCAGCCCAAACCAATCCAACTTGATGAGACAGTATCGGTAGGTTGCAAACGAAACATATTGCTGTCATAGTCCTGTACAAAACAAAAGCACTATTAGAAAACTTGTATAAAAATGTTATACAAAATATAATATTTGTGTAACTGACGATTTATTATTCCGAAAATTGATACCGCGATACATGGTGGTTCGTGTTCCCGGTAGCCGGTGCGAATAAGCGTGAAGTGACATATCGCGCCCTTGTGCTCGCATCACCGGCCTGATAACCGAACTACCGATATTAAGTAATAACCACTCCCCTGGCTGTCGACGTGTATTACATTATCAATAAACAATTGATGAGATACTATAATATTGTTGTTGGATTATAATTGTATTGGTTATCACCGACGAGCGACAAATTTATTTGTCATCTTGGACTTGAATGATTCAAGGATCTGTGTTCTGTAGAGCGTCGTGAATTCAATGGAAACCGTTTTCGCTTATCCTTATTCGTCGACAGCCTCACAGACATGTTTACGATAGAGGCACACAAAGTGCGTATCGCTAGATAAAAGCATGTGATTGTTATTGTTGCGGTACAGTCAGTCGACGCATGATGTTTTGATAATGCCTATCTGCCGGTTATTCGGATGAGCGGATTCCCCTCAGTGTGACTGACGATTGAGAAGCGGTGTTTAATATTACTGAAGTGGAAACGCGAAATGTGCTCAGTCAGTTTGAAATCTCTTCACAATGGGATTCAATTTACTCGTAAACTTAAAGTACCTTGTAATAGATAAGTCAGTACATAGGAATGAACACTTGACGTTGCGTATCGAATTTTATACAAGCATCTTGTTCATCTTTATATACAAACACATATTATAATAAGTAGTATATTTAATATTTAAACTATGTATATCCATCTACCTGACTGAACTTTTGCCGAAAAACAGTAATTTGTTTGAAGTAAGTGATTTAAACGGCTTTCAGTAAAGTTGGTAAGTTTTGGAAATTAATTAAACGTTTTCTGGTAAAAGTTCAGAATTTATCGAAGATTAATTAATTTACGATAGAGAATTTAATGTTATACTAAATTATTCTTTACGCTAAAGTTAATTAGGTTCTATTTTATCTACAGTTAAGGTTCTGTTTGTTCATCTGTTTAAACTAAAAACTTATTGTTACCTACCTACTTCTATAACTACAGTGCTTTAACTTATGAACTACTTATTATGATTAAGATCTCTATTTATAATTATTATAATGAGATTGTCTTGTAACGGTATGTTTATGAGTGTTTGTTATGAAAGTGTTTTAAAGAAAGTGCAGATTGATTGAAGTAAGTTCAGAAAATGCAAAAAGAATTAAAAAGTACGTCGACGGCATATAGTATGGTTTCCTTGAGAATATTAAGTTCATATGAAACGTAAAAAAAATCAAACTTTCATTAGCTTTGTTTTCAGGCTTGAAAGATTTTAGTTGAAGTTGAGCAATAATATTTTTTAACAGCCAGATTTTCTGACACTATTTTATTATACATATTTATCTGACCAAATTAATAAAAAAAAAAAACAGAACCCAAATTAAAAGCAAAAGATTGTGTAGCGAAGCAAACGTGCAGTTTAAAGAATTTTGTCTAGAAAAACATGCATTTAAATGCCAATTTTATTTATTTAAATTAATATTATAAGACATGCTAGGATATAGAGTTTGGGCTTAAAGCATATTCTAAGTCTACATGCAAGGTTCATACATGTGTTTTGCGGGTGATGTTCGATGTTCATGATTTCATGCTTGGTTCAACGGTTTCATGCTTGGTTTATATAACCATGCTTGGTTTCCAGGGACCTGTAATGGCGCAGACGAGGTGAGGGGGACTGAGGCATGTCGAAAGCCGGGTCATTAGGTCAGGACTAACTGAGGGTTATTCCCACATACAATTATCACATCAAACACTTTGAACATCTGAAACAATAGGTATAATAAATTAATCGTATTTGTTGCAGAATGAGGCCGTCATAAGTAGATTGCTGAAATTGAAATTTTGTTGAAGATTTAAAAATAAAATTGAGTATAGTAAAAGTTTTTGTGTGTTTGTGAAAGTAGTGAGATAGTTGGTGTAATAGTAGAGGAAATAAGTCTATTTGTGTTGTCTGTATTGCGCTATAATTATTTTAATTTTTATCGCTATCCTACCTTAAAATAATGGCCTACATAAACATTAACTAAGTACTCGATCCTACAAAAAGATACTCCCAAGAGTATAACATTCCCTGTATAAATTCTTTATACAAACAAAGGAAATAAACGCCATTGCTTCCTCCTTAATTATGTAAAATATAAATGGAAGATCCGTGTTCGGCGTCATAAAGTAACAAATAAAGGTCTCTATTTTATTACGTCACACGTCACAAAATTATTCTGGATACATCAAATTTTGAATACCTGTCAGTTGAAAGTATGTAGTTAGATTTATTTTATTGTAGTTTTTTTTTTCAATATATCATTATTTATACTTTTTAACATAATGGTCCTAACCTTTTAGTATATTTGTGTATCTGGTGGTCTCATTAATATATGTACATAGGTACGTCTTCATAATACTTGGTAAAACAATAAGTTACTAGTTAATTGAAACCTAGCGCCACGTTGCGACAGTTTTCTGCACTTTGAATGAAAAGCGCCAAGAGTTTCAGCCATAGTTTCTCCTGAAACCTGTAGATGGCACTGCAGTGTCCCCACTGTACAAAGTTTGCAATGATTGTACAAGTTTAACGCGTTGTTTCACAGATGGCGCTAGCTGTTTATAAGGGAAAATTAAGTTCGCCCGATGTTTTAATTACGGTTTTTGCAATATAGGTAGGTACGTATAATGTGAATAAGTTAAAGTTTTGAAGTATATGGGATTGTCATACATATGTGGCATACAATAAAAACATGTTGTCATAGGTCGGTCTTGTGGATTTTGCAAAATATTTTTTTATATGGAGAATTGGAGATCAAATCCAGAATTCTTGAACATACAGTCACTAAAGTAAACCATTTAAAGTTATGAATAGTTATATTGTAGCATTGTTAGCATTAAAATCCAACGAAGGTTTACAATTTCTGTGCGCACAAATTAAGTTCTACAGCGAAATGCAATCATCTGAATTGCGGTAGGAAATAATATCTCCATTCAACTTCGCTAATATTATGCTCCCGTTTCATGGAACGTAGGAATTCGAGGAGGAGTAAATCCTAGCAAAGAGGGCTTACCAACCTGTTTCATACAACACGACCAATTAGACATTTTACAAGCCAATTTTACTGTGCCTGTCAGGTATTTTCTCAATTAATTTTCATGTCGGACTTTCCTCTTTTGTGCACCCTTCGGCAGCAATCATAAAAGCAGTTTATTCCCTCGTTCGTAATACCGGAATAATAGCATTCACCCGAATGGTTGCTTTTAAGTCTTTAACATTTTTAGAGAATACTCCCTGAACAAATGAGAATGTTGTTCAATTTAGATTGGTTTTTGATTGATGGGGACGCGTAAAGTTTTAAATGAATTTTGTTGGGTGCGTCCCGACGCCAGCGGGCAGCTCCCGTCGGCCTTTGGGCCGCTTTATTCAATTAGTCCTCAACAAATAATACGCTCTCTGTAACGACATATTTTGCTGTAAAGGACTCCATTTCGGATAGAATTTTAACATAAAAATTATCACTTTTCTGTATGTGTAATTTTTGAGATTGTACATACCTACGTAAGCTATTTTCTCGTAGCAAATTTTAAATTAGAGTTTCTAACATCACTGAATTTTGAACGCACAACCAACTTTCGCATTACGAAATGTTCTGTCAAGCGCAAATAAACTTACATACAAAGTGGAACAGTTTAATGGCACATCGGAAATGTTTAGTTAGTTGTTGTTTGAACAGTAATTTGGATAAAACAAAGCTTCATGTAATGTGAATAAATGCAAATTCCTCGAAAGTTATTTGTTAATTGTATACGATGGCTTACAATGCACGAGCAAAGGATCTAGTTTATAACGTTTTAACAGCCTATATCGTAAATGATGAAATTTAAAAAAAACAGCAGCGTTTTTTAAATGGTATGACAATAAGACTATTTTTTATTCTCATGTCAATATCAGTATTAATACAATACAAAAGGAATTATTGATCCAAAAAATGTCATGAAACTTATAATCCTTCGGCAATGTTATTCGAAACTGCACCATACTGTCTGAATTCATATTATATGCACAATGTACATACGAATATCACTCTTCGTAAAGCAAGAGAGGGCTTAATTCAGATATTTGATGGCATCATGTTACATTTCATGTCCGTTCGATACTGGACATGCATTGTTATAGTACAAAACAGTATTGTGAGTCTTGTCAATGTCGTGTGTTCATTATTGAATATTTGAAATCGAAACTATTGTTGTTGTTTCGAAAGGTATAATTCCATACGCTTTTGTGAGTTCCTAAGTTCATAAGTAATTTCGATTTTTATAAAGCGTGTTTGAAGGAGCTTCGTCAATTAAATAATGGGAAGAATGATTCGAGGACAGATATAATTGTTATTTGAATGGAACAATTATAGTATTAAAGTAGATGACTAATTAGTTTGTGATCCTACCCATTTTTAACAAGGCTTTTAAGTCCGCAAGATTTTGTGTCAGTCGTCAAAACTAAGTATCTAATTTCATTTATACATAGTTACTTATGGGGTTGTCGTAGTGGCCTGGAAGTTAAGATGGCCGCTTCTTACGCATAAGGGTGCGGGTTCGAAACCAGTCAACGGCAAGTACCAATGTGTCTTTTTCCGAGTTATATTTACTTTCTAAGATTATTTAGACACCACTGACAAACGCTGAAGGAAAACTTCGTAAGGAAACCTGGGCTTATAATTTCTAATTATAAGTTTGAGATCGCCAACCCGCATTGAGCAACCGTGGTGATTAATGCTCAAACCTTCTCCGTGTGAGAAGAGGCCTATGGTCAGCAGTGGCCACTTATATTGATGTTGATAGGTTCTTAAATATATCAGAATAGTATTATTAAATCTCATATAATATGGTTTAAAAGATTCAATCGATTAAATTCATTTAAAGATTCCTTTGAGTGCCTACGTATGATTTAATCTTTAGTATTTGTGTCTTGTACGACAGCGTATAGGTTTATTCCTTTGAAGGATCTTTATACGCAGAATTGAGCGAGTTTCCATGAGCTACGGTCATTCGAGCAAACTAGAGACGTTTTGCTGCAAAATCCAGTTGCTGCTCAAGAATTTTGATACTGGTCAAAGGGACTGAGTATGAAATGTGACAAAGGATTTATTTTTAAGTAGAAAGAAATTCAAACCCTATGGCACATTTACTATACCTACTCTTTCTACTATATATACTCTCTACTTAAGTACGATATATGAATTTTGGCATATTATGTTTTAGATTATGCAGTCTATGTAGGTACAATCAATGAAGAATTATAATTTAAATGAAAAAATAAATAAATATGTACAACTTAAGATACACAAAAATTAAATAAAAGAGAACTAAAAATAACTATATACACAGAACATCAAAAAAATTGTCCGGGTCGACGTCATTAGAGAATAGTACGATATATTGAATAGTAATTTTATTATATGTGATGTCTATTCCGGGGACCGGTATGGTAATATTGTTAATTGTTATTTCCTACAGGTCCAAAATAGTCAAGGTCTTCATTATCCTATAGATTTAAGATAGATATTGAAATGTTTGATTTTTACTTATGCACGCACTGCTTCTATAGAAGCGTAGTGTGTAAATCACAGCATAGATATGCAAATGACAACATCACATTTTCACACAGTATTATATTGTTTACCGAATTAATCCCGTGCTGCTGTGGTCTGCAATTCTGCAACAACCCGTGGGATAACAGCCTAATCACACCATAACGCGGTCGGAAATTTCCACTAATCTAATTAAACTTGCGCGAACTTTATGCTCGATATTATAATTTTATTCGAGAGTTGTACTTATTCGATATCCAGTTATGAACTATCGAGTTTCCCCCCATACAGCCCTTGTTAAAACTTGATGCTAGGTAGCATCCGATTTTGAATTTCCAGTTCCAGCAACCCGAGTATCGAGAAATCCTAGATTTGTGGTAGCAAAATCTTCTCCAACTGGCTTCGGAACCCCGTAGTTACCTTGTTTTGCGGTAATACCTAGAAATTGTCTGATGATGCAAGGGAACAGGAAAATTGGATCGTAAAATTATTATTACGAAAATTGGAATTGAAGGCTGTCAAAGAAAAGGTTGGTAAAGAAAATTGTGTTATTGAAAAGTGTATTTTAGAATATACTTTTAAGGGCCGTTTAATATTTTTTTTGATGTTATTATATCTTTTTTAAAAACGTAAAATGTCTATAAGGTATGACAGAAACCTTTAAAAAAACGATATAATTAATTCAATAGCTGAGAATGGAGTATTTAAGGATCATACTTGATGGCGTTTAATATTCTAAGTTGATATTTTCTCATGGCGCGAAGGCCTGAGTATGTATGTTTGTATCTAAGTTATTGATATGTACAACAGTTTTATGAGTCCATGTTGTAAATAATTAAGAACATTATTTATTATTATTGGACACGGCTAATGTGATTACTAGAGGCAATCTGCATCAGAAGACGGTAACAAACGACGGTATATTTCATACATCAACATAATTTCTTTAGATTTTAACTCGTAAAATATGATGAGAAAAACTACTCCAAGATAATTTAAATTCAATTTTTCAAGATTAGGTACTTTAAGCAACAGACACTCGAGTATTTTGTTAATCAAAATGAAAGTAGTAGTACAAGTAGAGGTATTATTTATTTATTCATTATATTGTTATTGTTCCGTTTTTGCAAAATGTATGTACATATATTAAGGCAGTTGTTAAGAAAGTATGATTTACTATAGCAAGTTTC